GTGGGGTGAATATAATATCCCAAACTTAAGCATTTAATTGATTAATTTTAATTAAATAATTAAGCATGTTTTAGTGAGTAAAATTAAGTATAAGACTTAATTAAATGAATCTGAGTCACTTTGGAGTTAAAAAGTGTACTCAGTGAAAATTAAGGGGTATAAATGGGTACTGGCGAAAGTACCCAAAATATAAAAATAAAATTATAAATATTCCTAGAATAATATTCCAGACTTTTGGGTAAAGTTTGGTAATTAATGGAGTTGAATAGATAGATGAACCAATACCCACTTGATTCCACTTAACTAATGTTAAGTGACTTAAAAGAAAAAAAGAACCCAAAACCCTCCCCATTCCCGTCGCCAGAGAAGAAGAAGAAGAAGGAGGAGAAGAAGAAGAAGAGGGAGAGAGAGAGAGAACCCTAGAACCTTGAGTTCTTCACCATTTTGGGTGATTCAAAAGCCTAAACTACTCCAAATCTTCCCCTCATCACTAATCCTAGCTTGTTTCTTAGTGGGGAGTGTTGTGTTGTGAGATATCCTCCTCCAAAAATTCGGCCATTGGAGAAATTGAGGTGTTTGAGAGTTTCTACCTCCATGGAAGCTTGAGGAACACTCATTCCTCTATTGTGTGATCATTGGTGGTAAGTTTCCACTCTCTTTCACATGATTCTTGGAGATTTGCATGAGTTTAGGGTTAATGAATAGTGTTTTAGGGTTTTTATGAAATGTTGAGTAGATTGGCTATGTTCAAGGAAGAATGAGGCTTAGAGTATGTTGTGAAAAATGCTAGGAATGACATTTAATCGGTAGAAATGAGTTTATAGTGTTATTTTAGTATGCTTTGATGTTTGGAGAAATCTAGGCTTGGAACTATGGATTTCCTTGCATTGTTAGCATTGTTTGATTGTATTCCTTGTGTTGATAGGATTGAGGCAAGAGGACCAAGTGGAGTGACCAACCCTTGGGGTTGTGTGCAATTGAGGAAAGCTCAAAGAGCAAGGTAAACCTTTGGACCTTGTGGTTGATCCCATTGAGTGTTCCACCATACTCCGTTGAGGAGAAATGGTTTATGAGATGTGATATGTAATTATGATAGTGATTGTATGCTCATGCATTGATTCATGCATTGATACATGTTATGATTGATTGATGATTATTGGTTGATGTTTGATTGTTTAAGAGTAATTGAGGAATGATTATAGAAGTAGCAATAATGAATGAGGTAATGGTTGAGGATTGTGATTGAGGTTATGGTTGAGGATGATGTGTATGTGGATCCCTCTTGGAGGTTCCTAGATTGAGGAAAGGACTTCCCTTGGAAACAGCCCTATGTGGATCTCCATGTGGTTAGAGCCTAAGAGGAACAGCCCTATGTGGATTCCTCTTGGAGGTTCCTAGATTGAGGAAAGGACTTCCCTTGGAAACAGCCCTATGTGGATCTCCATGTGGTTAGAGCCTAAGAGGAACAGCCCTATGTGGATCCCTCTTGGAGGTTCCTAGATTGAGGAAAGGACTTCCCTTGGAAACAGCCCTAGGTGGATCTCCATGTGGTAAGAGCCTAAGAGAAACAGCCCTTTGAGGATCTCTCTTGGAATAGATTGAGGAAAGGACTTCCCTTGGAAACAGCCCTATGTGGATCTCCATGTGGTAAGAGCCTAAGAGAAACAGCCCATAGTGGATCTCTCTTGGAAGTCCATGTGATGCTTGTGGATAAGAATGTGTTAAGCTATTATGATTATGTGTACACCAAAGTGAACCTTAGGGTGGAGTGATCTCCAAGGACCTCTGGTTTACTGTGATATATTCGTATATCTCACCCCGTGTTGTGGGGCATCATTTCAGGTACTGATAGAGGTGAGGTTGATCGAGGCAAGAAGCGTGAGTAGACTGTACCTGATAGCTGGACATGTTGAGTTGCATGCCATTTAGCATTGCTATATGTATATTTTGATGCCACGTGATGTATTTTGGAGGACTTAGTGCATGATCATTGTAGTAGTAATGGGTATCTGATACAGGGTTACTTGCTTTGATCATGTTCATTTTGTAGCTAAGTCTTTTGGCATGTATATGAGATTTGTAATTAAGACATGATGTAATATTGTAAGTAATGAAGATATTGGTGTATGATGCTTACTGTAAGTTAAATGCATGAATGTATTTTTATGTATTGGATATGTTGAGCTGGAAAGTCAATTAGGTACCTTGTGCTAAGTTGGGAAACGTTGAGAAAACAAAGATTATGCTGCCCAATTTCCGTTAAATCAATGATGAGAGGATGAGAGTTGAGCAATGATATAGGGATATCACAAGCTTGTTAAATAGGTTGTAAAATGTGTAGGATTGATTCCCCAAGAAAGATGCATGAAAAATATGAGTATAGGAAATTGCCCAGAAGAGGGGGCTTAAGCCTGCAAATGGAGGCTTAAGCCTGCTCAGGGGGCTTAAGCGCCCATGAGGGGGCTTAAGCGCCCTGATGCACCTGTGAAGACCAAAAGCTTTCTGCCGCATGGGGCTTTAGCGCCCAAAATGGGGGCTGAAGCGCCCAGGTAGCGCGCTTAAGCGCCCTGGAGCGAGCTTAAGCGCCCTTGGTGGCTAAAAAATGTAAATTCCCTCTGTCTGTGGGCGCTTAAGCGCCCTGGAGCGAGCTTAAGCGCCCTACCCGCGTAGTTTTTCAGCATACACCTGAGTTAGTAAAATTGTCATAACTTGAGCTACAGAGCTCCAAATGAGGAGCGGTTTGAAACCACGCGTAGCTAACGAAGAAATCTACAATATAGTAGAAGTTGGGAAATAAATAAGAAGTAAATTAATGGTTTAAAAATGGAATAAGAACATGATGTTAAGCTTGGTTTATCTGATTCCGTAAAGTAATATGGTTATGATCACGCAATTGGGCATTATAAATTCGGCATGTTTTAAAATGAAAATTTTAACCGGATTTTAATTGAACCCATGTGATTGTAACTGCGCTTAATATCATAATGCGATGTTAACAAACCGGTTCTAGAACGGGGTGTTACAACACCAGTGTAAGTTACACTCTCAATCTTGTGCGTTGATCCTACTTATATTTAAGGACTCTGATTTTTTAGTAATGTGATCCACTGGATACAAGTGGATCAATGGTCAAGATTGAGTGTAAGACTTCTAACTCTTATACCGGTGTAAGAATATCTTGCCCCTATATATATATATGGGATATGATCAACTTACACCGGTGTAAGAATAATAAATCTTACACCAAATCTTAACCGTTGATTTCCATGCATCTAATGGTTAAGATTTATTGGGAATTAAAAATTAAATAATGAGTGAGACCTAATAAATCTTAATCGTTAGACGTAGAAAATCAATGGTTAAGATTTGGTGTAAGACTTATTATTCTTACACTGGTGTAAGAGTTAGAAGTCTTACCCTTCATTGATCATTGATCCACTTATATCCAATGACTGATATTACTAAAAAATTTGAGCCTTTAAATAAAAGTGGGGTTAACAGACAAGATTAAGAATGTAACTTACATTGGTGTAAAATGATCCTGACCCTATATATATATATATATATATATATATATGAGACATGATCCTCTGACACTGGTATCAAAATTTGAAATTTGACATCAAATCCTAACCGTTGATTTCCATCAATCAACGGTTATCATTTATCAGAAATTAATATTAATTAATGCTTTCATCCTTTACATGGTTATGATTCCCCACATTTAATGCTTTCATCCTTTGTATGGTTATGATTTCCTGCATTTAATATTTTCAAGTATATATATGGCAAGTATTTGATTGCTGCACGTACAGCAGCTACAAAAACGTAAATCACATTATATATATAGGTAAAATCATTTCTACAGCCGCTTTACATACAACAATGACAGGTGTATGGTTATGATTCCTAACATTTAATGTTTTTATCCTTTGTATGGTTATGATTCCCCACATTTAATGCTTTCATATATATATATATATAGCAACTATTTGACAGCTGCACGTACATCAGCTGCAGAAATGTAAACTCCACACATATATATATAACATTAAAGTAGTTATTTTTTTTCTCTCCTTAGTAGGGGTTAAAGTAGGCTGGGCTGGGCCAAGCTTTGCCCCGAAAATCCCAAGCCTATGCTAAAAATATTCAACTTGGTCTGGCCTATGCCTAGTAAGAGTCTAACTGTTAACCTGACTTGACCCGTTTATAAAAAAACAAATGGCCTGCCCTAGCCCTTTAGCCTGTTAATTTTTAACTTTCAAGCAGAACCATGAATCAACTTCACAAAATATTCAAATTTTGTTGCTAAACCAAAAATCACAATTTCAACGTCCAAACAAAATCATGAATCACAACAAAACTCATCACAATCTGCATTAAAGTTACTTTCTAAAGCAAAATGCTCAAATTAAATAACATATATTTCATCAGATCCAACAAACAAATCCATACTATGTAAATTTAAATAACTACATGAATCCAACAAACACATCATGATGTTTGTAGTAAGTATAATCTCTCCATAAAACCTTCTAATATTTTCATATACACAATCTAACATGTTGAGATGTTGGTTCCTCCTACATAAGAAATAAAGTCAGATTTTTATTAAAATATAATAAAATATAATTAAGTTATAAACAATTACAATTGATTAAATTTATATATATATATTTTTTTCAAGACATAGTTATTCTATTTTATTTTATTTAAAATAAAAAGTACAATATAGGCCGGCCTGTAGGCTTATAGGCGAGACCTTATTAAAGTGGGTCTACGACCTATTTATTAAACAAGCTTTTTCAAGACCCAAGCCCGGCCTATTTTACGTAATATACTAGGTCAGGTTTGACGTGACGTAGGCCGAGCCGTAGGCCCCTGGTCCGGCCCAGTTTCACCCCTACTCGTTAGTCACTTTTCAAAACCTGTCTATTTGTTAACGTGGAGAGAAAAAAACACCAATTTAATGTTATAGATATATACTACTTATAATTTACTCAGAGATAAATAAATGTAAGAAGGAAGGAAGGAGTGTGAACCTCAATCACTTGTGCCATCCATGGAAAAATCATAGTACTGCAGCGTTCCCTCTCTTCCAAATTTGGGCAGTTGAAAACATATAATATTATGATTCTGAAATTCTCATGAATGTCCGTACATGAAGGGAGCTCAGGCAAAGATTTCAACCGCTTGCAGTGTGACAATCTTAAATCAACAAGTTTTGAAAACTCCTTCAGGCTACAAGTCAGTGTAACAAATTTGTTTCCCTCAAGATTAAGGTATTTTAAGTAATGTAAGCTTCCAATAGCTTCAGGGAATTGTACCAGCTTGCAGAAACTCAATTTAAGATATACCAAACAAGAGAAGCTAGGCAAGGAAGGCAACAAAGAAATAGCTGAATCTTTATAATTCAAGGAACGGAAAGGGCACAAACACCTTTTGAAGATGCAAGAGGATGCTGATTGGGAGTGCATAGCAGTTTCACTACTTATATCAAGCTGGTTGTTAAACACTTTTGAACACCCCGAGAGATTTAATGATTTAATTGAAGTGAGACCCACTATGTTGTTGGGTATACTTAAAAGATTTTTGCAGTCTTCCAAATTCAAGACTTCAAGCTTTCTTAGAAGACCAATGGATGGATCGATCTCCACAAGTTTTATACATCCTTCAAGACTCAGCCTCTCAAGATTTGGGACCTCTCCAAAATCTGGCATTTTGATTAGATTTTTGGAATGGCTAAGATCCAGACTTATCAAATTGGGCATATACTGTAAAGACCAACAGGAATGAAGAGAATTACTTTTTTTTTAATTTACATTCAAAACAAAAGAGAAAATTGAAATTAAAATAGAAAGAGAATTTATATTTCTAAAATTTTCTAAAAGAAAAATGAAAAAGATAAATTATAGTACCTTCTTGCCTTCCCACAATTGTGTCATGCAACTATGCTTCAAGATCAAATGAACAGGAACCTCCGGCTGAAAACTTGGTGGCAAATACATGAAAGGATATTCATTCCACTCCACATATCGTAATTTATTAGAAAGACATTTGAGGCTGCCTGAAAATTTCACACCACGTAGTATAAGCAATCTGAGGTGATTCATTTTTGACAATCCTTCAGCCATCAATCTTCGAGTTTCTTCTGGGCTATTCAAAACTATGGCTTCAACATTATTTCCTCCCTAAATGATTGCATTAAAGAATGAAAAACTTAAATAACTTTAACTGTATATAACTTCTATAAAAATGGAAATAAAATTGTTTTTTTTTCAATCAACTACTTTACCATTTTCTCCTTCAACATAACCTTGAATAAATCTTTATAGAGCCAAAGCCTGCTCCACTTGATTGGCTTTTTGGGTGAATTTTCTCGAACTAGTTTTTTCCCCAGCTCTTCCAACAAATCGTGCATTTTAACAGCAGGGAAATTAGCATAAGAAGACGAAACGGTTAGGAGTGATTTATCAACGAGAACTCCTATTCCAATGTATGGATGAAATTCACAGCAACTTAGAACTTTCTTGTAACACCCCGTTCTAGAACCGGTTTGTTAACATCGCATTATGATATTAAGCGCAGTTACAATCACATGGGTTCAATTAAAATCCGGATAAATTTTTCATTTTAAAACATACCGACTTTATAATACCCAATTCCGTGATCATAACCGTATTACCTTGCGGAATCATATCAATTAAGCTTAACATCATGTTCTCATTCCATTTTTAAATCATTAATTTACTTCTTATTTAGTTCACATCTTCTACTATATTGTAGGTTTCTTCATTAGCTACCTGTGGCTTCAAACCGTGCTCAAATCGGAGCACTGCAGTCCAAGTTAGGACAATTTGAAGCAACACAAGAGAGTGTTGGTCACAGGCCCAGCGCGCTTCAGCGCGCTACCGGGCGCTCAAGCGCGCGCTATCGGGCGCTAAAGCCTCCATCTGGGCGCTTAAGCGCACGGAGGCAGTAAGCATCAGGCATTCCAGTGTGGATGGGCGCTTAAGCGCGCAACAGGGCGCTCAGGCGCGCTATCCTGGGCGCTCAAGCTCCCACGGGGACGTTTTAGCGCGCAGAGACAGAAGCATCTCCTCCTTCAGTGGCGAAGGGCGCTTAAGCGCGGACCGGGGCGCTCAAGCGCGCAACCCTGGGCGCTTAAGCCCCACCCTGGGCGCTAAAACACGAGGGGGCAGTAAGCCACCCAACTTTCTGCAGCAAGGGGCGCTTAAGCGCACGCCAGGGCGCTCCAGCGCGCAATCCTGGGCGCTTAAGCCCCCACTTGGGCGCTCCAGCGCGAGGAGGCAGAATGCATTGGCACTCGCAGGGGCAGCAGGGCGCTTGGGCGCGCTCCTGGGCGCTTAAGCGCGCTGCCAGGGAATTCCAATTCCCACATTTCTCAAGTCCAAACCTAGGGGGAAGTGCATCCCCATTACAAACCTCAATTGTCCATGCCCCAAAACTAAATCCTAGCACTCATCCAACCTCTCCTCATGAGATTTAGCTAGAATTTGGGCAGCATGACCTTTGTTTTCTCATCGTTTACCAGTTTAAACGAAGAGGGTACCTAATTGATTTTCAGCCCAACCAATTCAACAACTCAATACATAACAAGCATGCATATATTGAATTCCAAGTAGACATCATTTACATTACATATCCTTTACAAATCATAGAACTTAGCTTACAAAACACTATGATCATTCCCTTGGCTCCCATCAACAATAGGTGTAACCAAAGGCATGAGCATAGGCTAAGTTCATCCAATGAATCAAGATATACATATGACCATGGGCTTTCAAAATAAAATCCTATACATGTCAACTACAAAAGGCATGCATAAACTCAAAGAAATGCCATATTTCATGCATAATCCAGATATGGCCACTTGCCACCAGAGGCTCCTGCAGCATCCTTTCCTGAAAGGGGGTCCCCACAACACGAGGTGAGATATACGAATATATCCAGTAAACCAGGGGTCCTTGGAGCATCTCTCCACCCCACAGTTCCATATCAGTGTAATAGCAATAACAATAATAATGCAGTAAATACATATCTATGCAAAGTGCAATACATCTCCAGGAGAAATCCCTCGAGCTCTCAAGCTGTCCTAAGGAAACTCAGATGCAAATAGTCCTACTGGCCAGCTAACTACCAAGTATGATTTACGCATCGTCATGCCACATACCAACATAGGGAAACACCATCCTATGCCACACCAAATGCATACACATACGTATAACAAAGCATTACACTATTTTATTGCATTTATATACACAATCACAACCTCCACCCTTTCAGGGCTTGGTAGAACAGTCAAGGGAATTACACCCAAGGTCCGAAGGCTTACCTCAATGCTTCAGTCAACCTTTGTTCTTCACCAACAGTTTCAGCAATCAACTTTTACAAACATACACCTACACATGGTGTAATGCAATCAACACATTGCATCCGAGAGTATTTCACAATCAACCATCAAATGTTCAATTCAAAACACCACACAAGTGTGAGCTTACCAATTCCAATGAGCTATTCAAGCTCCATAGCTTGCTCCAATGGTTGATCACTCACGGTTGGTCCAAATGTCTCAATCCTAGACATCACAAGGATCCAATCAATCATTCAACTCACTAATTGTTCAACATGCTAGAATACTAACCAATCCAAGCATGAATTTTCCAATATTATGAACAATTATCAAATGACTATCTAGGCTCATTTCCACCGATTAAATGACATTCCTAGCATTTTCCATAACATGCTCTAAGCTCCATTCTTCCTAGAACATAGCTAATTCAACTACATTTCATAAAAATCCCAATTTACTATTCACAAACCCTAACTCATGCAAATTTCAAGGAATCATGAGGTTCAAGGGTTAGAATCTTACCACCAATGGTCACACAACCAAGGATTTATGGCTCCTCAAGCTTCAATGGAGGTAGAAACTCTCAAAACCCCAATTTTCACCAAAGGGCCGAATTTTTGAGAGGTAATATCTCTCTCCACAATGCTCCCCACTCAAAACAAAGCAAGGATTATGAAAGAGGGCGAAGATTTAGAGTGCGATTTAGGCTTTTGAATCACCCAAAACCGTTGGGATTTGCTCTCTCTCTCTCTCTTTCCCTTTTCTTATTCCCTCTCTTCTCCCTCTCTTCTCTTCTCCTTTCTGGTTCGACGGGTTGGGTGGGAAATGAGGGGTTCTTTTTGGTGTTTTATCACTTAACATTGGTTAAGTGGTAACATGTGGGTATTGGTTCGTCTATCTATTCAACTCCAATAATTACCAAACTTTACCCAAAAGTCTGGAATATTATTCTAGGAATATTACTATTTTTATTTTTATATTTTGGGTACTTTTGCCAGTACCCATTTATACCCCTTAATTTTCACTGAGTACACTTTTTAACTCCAAAGTGACTCAGATTCATTTAATTAAGCCTTATACTTAATTTCACTCACTAAAACATGTTTAATTAATTAATTACACTTGATTTACTAATTAATTAAGATGGGCTATTATAGTCACCCCACCTTTTAGCGATTTTGTCCGCAAAATCAAGAACGTACCTATCCTTAAACTCAGGATATTGCCGGAGAAGCTCATCTTCGCGCTCCCAAGTGGACTCTTCAGGCGTCCTTCCTTCCCACTGGACTTTCACCATAGGAATAGATTTATTTCTCAGCTTCTTCTCATCTCTTTCGAGTATCTTCAGTGGTCCAATAGGAGTCTTCAAATTCTCCCGGATTTCAACATTATCAGGTTGAACCACATGAGAAGGATCAGCTACATATTTCCTCAGCTGAGAAACATGAAACACATCATGTAAATTTGCTAATTGCGGAGGTAAGGCAAGCTGGTAGGCAACCGGTCCCACCCTACGAAGAATCTGGTAGGGTCCAATAAATCTCGGACTCAGCTTCCTCACACCAAGGGCTCGTCCCACACCCGTAACTGGTGACAGCTTCAGGAACACATGATCTCCCTCCTCAAACTCTAGAGGCCGGTGCTTGAGATCATAGTAACTTTTCTGACGATCTTGAGCCTTTTTCAGACGATCCCTAATCATTTTAATCTGCTCAGTAGTCTCCTGAACAAAATCCAATCCAAACCGCTCTGTGTCTCCAACCTCTGACCAACAAGTAGGTGTCCTACACCTGCGACCATACAAGGCCTCGTAGGGAGCCATACCCAGACTAGCATGGAAACTATTATTATACGAAAACTCAACCAGTGGGAGATATTGATCCCATGCAGTACCCTGCTCCAGGGTGCAAGCCCTCAGCATATCCTCCAACGTCTGAATGGTCCTCTCAGTCTGACCATCCGTCTGTGGGTGATAAGCAGTGCTCAGTCTCAACTGAGTGCCAAGAGCCTCCTGCAATGCTCCCCAGAAGCGAGAAGTGAACTTCGGGTCCCGATCACTAACAATGCTCTCAGGCACCCCATGAAGCCTCACAATCTCCTTCACATAGAGCCTAGCCAATCCCTCCGCAGAGAAATCTACCCGAACTGGCAAAAAGTGTGCGGATTTTGTCAATCTATCCACAATCACCCATATAGAATCATAACTAGCCTGTGTTCGCGGCAATCCCACTACGAAATCCATGGAGATACTCTCCCATTTCCATTCAGGAACATCCAGAGGTTGCAGCATACCAGAAGGCTTTTGATGCTCAATCTTTACCTTCTGACAAATGAGACACTTAGAGACAAATTCGGCAATATTTTTCTTCATACCAGGCCACCAGAAATTCATCTTTAGGTCCTGATACATCTTTGTAGCTCCCGGATGAACTGTAAAATGACCCTTATGAGCCTCTGTCATTACTTCTTCCGCCAACTGCCTAGGTACAACTACACGACCCTGATATAGTAGTACACCCTCATCATTGCAGGATACACCACTCTGACCTTTTAGTCGTCTAGCACTTTCATTTTGCAGTTGGGCTTCTTTGATTCTGGTCATCAGTTCATTCTCAATGCTTGTGATTTCAAAGCCACAAATTTTACATGGAAAGATTTTAGATAATTGATTATCTCTGAACCTCTCAATCACATCATAATCTCTGATCATCATGCTTGATATACTCACGGATTTTCGGCTCAGTGCATCCGCTACAACATTAGCCTTACCAGGATGATATTTCAATTCAAAATCATAGTCTTTTAGGAACTCGGTCCACCGTCGTTGTCTCATATTCAGCTCCTTTTGATCAAACAAGTATTTCAAACTCTTGTGATCGCTGAATATTGCAAATTGCATTCCATACAAGAAATGCCTCCACTGCTTCAACCCAAAAACAATTGCAGCAAGCTCAAGGTCATGGGTTGGATAATTTTCTTCATGCGGTTTCAATTGCCTCGATGCATAAGCTACCACTCGCCTATCTTGCATCAGCACACATCCCAATCCCTTCTTGGAAGCATCGCTGTATAGCTCAAATTCACCCTCCGGGTCGGGAAGTACTAACACCGGAGCGGTCGTTAGTTTCTCCTTAAGGCTCTGAAAGCATTCTTCACATTCTTGTGTCCAAACAAATGGAGTATCCTTCCGGGTCAAACGGGTCAATGGCAACACCATGGCTGAAAATTCTTTAATGAATCTCCGGTAATAACCAGCCAAACCCAAAAAACTTCTTATTTCCGTTACTGTCTTGGGTCTCTCCCAATCAACAACTGCCTCTATCTTGCTAGGATCAACCGCTACTCCCTCAGCAGAGATAACGTGACCCAGAAATTGCACTTGAGAAAGCCAAAACTCACATTTAGAAGGCTTTGCATATAACTGTTTCTCTCTGAGAATTTGCAACACAGTTCTCAAGTGACCTTCATGCTCTTCCTTACTCTTCGAATATATCAGGATATCATCAATAAACACAATCACGAATTGATCCAGAAACGGCTTAAATATGCGATTCATGTAATCCATAAACACCGCAGGAGCATTAGTGAGTCCAAATGGGATTACTTGATACTCATAATGTCCATATCTAGATCGGAAGGCAGTCTTCGGAATATCTTCCTGCCTAATTCGGATTTGATGATAACCCGACCTCAAATCAATCTTTGAGAAAACACAAGCACCCCTCAACTGATCAAGCAAATCATCTATGCGAGGGAGAGGATACTTGTTCTTAATAGTAACCTTATTCAGCTGACGGTAATCAGTGCACAATCTCATGCTACCGTCCTTCTTCTTAACAAATATGACTGGTGCTCCCCACGGGGACACACTTGGCCGGATAAACTGCTTGGCCGAAAGCTCTTCAATATGCTTCTTTAACTCGGCTAATTCCGGTGGTGACATCCTATACGGAGCCAGAGAGATAGGCCCCACACCAGGCAACAGATCAATCGTGAACTCAATCTCTCTGTGAGGCGGAAGTTGTGGAATTTCATCTGGAAACACATCCACAAACTCCCTCACCACGGAAATAGTGCCAATCTTCTCATGACTTCCGCCTACTAAACCCCCCACAAAGACATATCCCAATGCCCCGGCCCTCAAAGCCTTTCTAACCTGCAACACAGATAGATATGGGGAAGAACTAGTAGCAGAATCATCAGCATCAAGCACAATCCTTTTACCGCAGCAGTCTATCATAGCACAGTTCTTTGACAACCAGTCCATACCCAAGATAACTTGAAGGCTGATCATAGGTAAACAAATAAAATCCAGCACGTAATCTCGGCCTTCATATTTGAATTCAACATCTTTACACAACACTGATGTATAACACTCCTCTCCAGTAGCAGTAACCACTTTCATTGGAGGGCGAATGTCATACATTTGCAAATTTAGCCCAACGGCCATAAAATCAGACATACAGGAGTGTGTAGCTCCTGAATCAAACAACACTTCAACATCTATATTATCAATGTAAATTGTACCTTTCACTAGATTCGGAGCCTTCTCCGATTGTTGACGGTCCATGGTATATACTCTACCAACCGTCTGAGACTCTAGCATAGGTTGAACAACAGAGACCGGAACAGCAGTAGCTTGACACTGAGAGCTAGGACTACAATTCTTGAGTTAAGGAATGATGATTGCAATCTGGTGAGAGATGAAGACAATCTGATTGAGCTCATTTACTCTTTCTTTAACAATTTATTCTTAGAGGAAGACTACAATAGACCCTGGACTGTCACCACAACCACTTGGCCTGCTCTTGATGACACTGATTTGAAAATCCTGCTTGAACCCATCTCGGATATTAGGATAAATGAGGCTTATTTCTCTATGAATGGTCTCAAGGCTCCTGGTCCAGACGGATTCCCACCTATCTTTTTCCAAAAAAATTGGGAATTATTGCAGATTCAAGTGATTGACTGTGTAAGATAGATTTGGTGCAATCCTGCTGCTGTGAGGGAATTAAACAAAACCTTCCTAGTTTTAATTCCAAAGCTGGCTAAGTCTGACAAGATTACTCAGTTCCGGCCCATTGCCCTGTACTCTGTGCTTTATAAAGGTATTAGCAAGATCATTGTGAGAAATCTCAAACCCATCCTGAATAAGCTCATCTCCTCTCAACAAGTCAGTTTTGTCCCTAACAGACAAATCTAGGACAACATTGTCATTGCTCAGGAGATGGTTCATTCCATGAATAGGATAAAAGGAAAGAGGGGTTTTTTCACTATTAAGATAGATCTCGAAAAAGCCTATGATAGAATGTCTTGGAGTTTTATTCAAAAAATTCTTTTTGAGATCAATCTCCCCGAGTCGCTGGTCAACTTAATTATGCAGTGTATCTCCTCAACAGAGCTAGAGATTCTCTAGAATGGCACTAAGGCTGGTAAAGTCAATCCTAGCAGAGGCCTGAGACAAAGGGACCCCATTTCTCCCTATATATTTGTCCTTTGTATGGAGAAGCTCTCTCATATCATAGCTGACTCTATAGACATGAATGATTAGAAGCCAATGACATCTGGTAAAGGTGGACTCAAAATATCTCATCTACTTTTTGCAGATGATTTGTTGCTGTTTGGGGAAGCTAGTATGGAGCAGATAATGATTATTTTGAGCTGTCTTGATACTTTTGGTAACATGTCTGGTCAAAAGGTTAGTTACTCCAAATCCAATATTTTCTTCTCTAAGAATGTTCCTATTGAGGTTGCTAACTCTATTATGGAGATTAGTGGTTTTGCCCATACAAAAAATATTGGCAGATACCTGGGTTATAGGATGAAGCATGGCAGAATTAGCAAGCTACACTATGGAGATATTTTGGACAGGGTCAATAATAGACTTCAAGGTTTGAAGAAGCAGTGTTTATCAATGGCTGGGAGAGTTACTCTGGCGAAGTCTGTCTTATCAGCCATGCCCATGTTTCATATGCAGAATAACCTTCTTCCTAAAGGCATTTGTGATGACATTGAAAAACTTCAAAGGAGCTTTATTTGGGGAGACTCAGAAACTCAAAAAAGAATCCATACTGTTAACTTGGAGCAGCTCAAGCTTCCAAAGAACCAGGGTGTTTTGGGAATAATCAATCTCAGAAAATAAAATGAAGCTTTTCTCCAGAAGTGTGCATGGTCAATCATTCAGTCTCCATCTCAGCTCTGGGCAAAGGTTATGATTTCTAAGTTTGGTAGGAACAAATAATTTTAAAAGGAGGCTACCATGTTAAGTAATCTCAATTGGCAGATTGGAAATGGGAGTAAAATAGCCTTCTGGAAGGATAATTGGACTGGACTCAATTCCAATCTTATAACTCTTTCAATAGCTCCCCTATCAGCTGAAGAAACAGATCTGAAAATCAATCATAGTAGTTTTGTTTCTGAGGAGGGCTGGAATGTTCAGTATATAGAGCATCATTTCAACCTTAGTGTGGTGAATAGAATTCTGGCAGTACCTCATCCTGAAGATGTAGAAGGAGAGGATTATCTGATGTGGAATAACTAGAAACTAGGCTAATCGGTAGTCAAAGTTGCGTACAGTAATTGGCTGATTGCTAATTCAACAGCTCCCAGTAGCTGTAGGGACCGTATCTGGAGCTGGAAAGTGAAAGAAAGGGTGAAGTTCCTCATGTGGAAATTGTTTCATGAAAGAATGCCAACTAAGGAGAACATAGCCAAGTGGAGTGATTCTTTGAATAGCTGTCCTTCGTGCCCAGATAAGGTGGAGACCTGTCTTCACGTTTTCAGAGACTGCCAAAAAGCAGTTAAGGTTTGGCTTCCTCCTATATTCCAACCTCTTCCTCCTGACTTTTTAGCTCTTGCTCTTTTAAGGAGTGGAAGACTCTTAACTTGAACCTTAGTAACAGAAAAAGGAGGGACTGGAGGGATTATTTTTTTACTACCTGCTATTCCTTGTGGATATGGAGAAATAAGGAGCTTCATGAAGAGAACTACAAGAGACCGGATAACCCTTCTCCTATCCTTGCTGATCTCATAGAGGAAAGTAGGTACTGTATCTCAAATAGAACTCATATTTGCTCTGGTATGCCCCCCACTCTTCTCCACTCTGCTTGAAAGGCTCCTGCTCAAGGTTTTCTAAAGCTAAATGTGGATGGTGCTTCTCTTGACAGTAGAGCTGCTTGTGGTGGTCTCTTGAGAGATTGTAAGGGTTCTTGGATTAGTGGTTTTTCTGCTTTCGTAGGTTTCTGCTCCCCTTTGCAAGCAGAACTCTGAGCGATTCTCAAAGGATTAATCTTTGCCTCGAACAATGGTTGGAAGAACATTATGTTGGAATCAGATTCATTACAAGCTATCAGTCTTTTTACCAATGTTGGTAATGATACTCGAAAGCTTCCTTTGGTAGCTAAGATTCAAGTCTTTCTTAATAAGGATTTGACTGTTTTGTTGTAGCATATTCCGAGGAATTGCAACAATTGTGCTAATTGGATTGCAAAAAAGGCATTGGAAGACCCCCTGGTCTCACTATAATCTCCTCACCTCATAGTGAGCTCATCAACATGCTTGTTGCTGACTTGCTGGATCCAGGCTAGGAGGCATCTGCTATTTTCTGAAGGCGTTGTCTTCAGTTCCCCTGTGCTGTGCAGGGTTTTGTTTTCTGTTTGTTGTTTTTTCTTCTGTTCTTGTTTTTTTAGTTTTCTTTGTGTTCTCTGGGGCTTTTCCCCTTATGTTATCAAAAAATAAATAAAAATATTTTTTTATTAAATAATAATTTAATTTTTTGTCCAAAATACCCTCGTGACTATCTGTTGCTTCCCTCCACTTTTTTCCAAACCCAAATCTCGTCGATCTCATAAGTATTATACCAAATCCCATTAATCAAATCGTTTTTTCGAGAAATACGAGACATCTAAGTCATACAAGTCAAGCGATTTATTCCTTATAATCCATTTTTTCTTCGGAGAATTCCCTTAAACTATTTGTGTATGTAAAACCAAATACAAATAATCTAATTTTCTTAAGTTGAAGGCAAATATCTAAATACATGTCTTATCTTTTAAATAATCCGAACTCCGTATTTCTTCTAGAGAATCTCCTAATTGTTCCAGAGCAACTAGAAAGAGATTCCTTAACCAGAAAGAATTCAGTTCAGATTTTTTAACCGAACCGGTTCTTACCTTTCGCTAATCGGTCACCGGTTGTACCTGTTCACCAAACCGGTCACCGTTCGCGATCTTCAGTCACGGCGGTTCGCCGCCGGCAACAGTTCATCGTGACCGGTCAATATCTATAAATAGACCCTGACCCCCCATAAAAATAATCCGGCTTTTATGCACTATTACTCTGCCGAAATTTTTCCTTCTTCCGATTTGCACCCTCCTTTCAGTTTTCTTCGGTGTACTTTCCTCTGGCAATTGTTGTATTCGTTTGGGCTGTTGACTGGTAGTGCCACCACTCCTCAGACGAAATCTGTTCTATCTTGGGAGACTCTTGTCCATCAACCCTTTGGCATCAGTGTGGGGACAAATTGTTTTAAGGAGACACGTTCTGTGGGCTCAGATTTAATTCCTCATACTACATACATTCATCTGTCTGTTCCATTAAACTGACATCAAGTAAGTCTGTTCTAATTTTTCATAATTGCACTGTGTATGATATTTCTGATCATTATCTCTTATGTTCTATACTTGGGTTCAAACCTCTCTTAGTGATGTAATATCACCCACTGTCTTCAATAACACACACACACACACACACACACACACACACACACACACATAGAGAGATATGTAGGATCCTTTGACATCAGTGTCAAATTTGAAATTTGACACATCATCTGAGAGCCATTAGATCAAAAAAGATCAATGGAGTCACATGCTTAGAAATCAGAGTCGTTGATCTTTTTTGATCTAATGGTTCTCAGATGAAATTTGACAATGGTGTCAAAGGTTCCTATTTCATATATATATATATATATATATATATATATATATATATTATTCTTTTACGTAGAGATAGATTTTACACGTGGAATTTTTGTATGTATAAAAAATCACTTACTGGAAACAAGGGATATATTGGTTAAAATCGAATAATCAATACTCAACTTGACAATTTATTTTGACCCAAAACTTGTTGAATCAAATTTGAGTTCTTGAAATTTAAACCTGATATATTTAATAGGTCGAGTTTTTTTTTTTTTTGGAGATTACAAAGAATTGAATATAACACCCTATACTATACACACTCCTAATACACACCCCACACCACTAGACTAACCCTAGTGGTCATAATAGGTCGAGTTTGAATCTATACCTTGCACAATTTGGACTTGTGCAGCGTAAAATATACCTATTTTATGGTTGTTGATAAGAAATACGACATACGGGCAGGGCAGCCAAGTTTGTCCATAAATCCCTATACTTTCCGCATTTGAAGATATTTGAATTAGCTTTACATAATCTATGTAACTTGTGTTTGCAAAAATATATATATATATATATTTAAAAAATCAAAGATAAATAGAAAACTTGTTGATTTTAAAAAGATAATTTGGTACGATAAAGATTCATTTCAAAACCAAGAGAAGAGTTTATTGGATTTCAATGATGAACAATACACTGAATTACTGAATGAAATAATTTCAATCCAAAAGTTAATTAAGCCGTTAGACAAATATTATATTAATGAATTTATATCATACTTCTCTAACATATACTTATTTTTATATCAATATAATTTATTTAAAAAATACATATACTATAAATATTTTATTATTAAGCTACTTTTGGTGTATAAGTTTATATTTTGTATAATATCGAGTCGACTCGGTCCCCCATCTAATTATTAGTTAAGCTATGATTAGATAATCCAAAAAGTTGGTTTCACCAAAAAAGAGTTGTAATTAAAAGATTGAGTTGCGATTTCATTAGAGTTTAAAAAGTTACAGCAAAAAAGAGAAGGAAAAATCATTTTAAGAGGAAATAAATGTACAGGAACAGGAGCAGGACTGCAACCAATTCCTTATTTATAGATGATGCCATGCACCCATTAGCGGGAATCTCTTGGGAAGTCATTTCTGTCTGCTTGCCTCTCCTTCCCCCCCTTTAAATTCTATACCCTTTCTCTCTGCATCCAAACAAATTTAATGTTTTTTCAACACATTACCAGCAAACACATGATGTCTTCTCACTTCTCCTCCCACTACCACCTTCTCTCTTTCTCTTCTTCTTCTTCTTCTTCTTCTAAGCATTTCCCTTTTCCAACTTCTTCTTCTCCTCCTCTCTCTTTTCATCACTTCTCCAAATCCTCTGTGGGTAAGTCTATTATGCAATAATTTCGCCAATTCTTTTTTTTTTTCTATTAATTTTTAAACTTTTATTCTTTAACATTGTAAGTTTCTCTGATCTGAACATTCTATTACCTTAGAAAAGAATGTGGAAGCACAAATAGTTGCATACTTATTCTGTAGGAAATCATAGCAAAAAAAAATTCATCAAAGAATTATCACCATATTATTTTCCTTCACTAGAGATATCTTCTTCATCTTGCTTATTATACATGGCTTTCTTTGTTATATAAAGAGAAAAACACAATTTAGGAGCTTAAGAGTTTCTACTTTCGTTAAGAACTTAGCGACTCTGGTTCTCTAACTTTCACCTCTCAAGATTTCACTATCAAGCAGGCTAAATTTGTAAGATGTGTTGTCTTTTGTTTTCTCCTCTACCTAAAAAGAAAAAGAAGAAGAGTTTCACTGGAAGCTGAAAGTAATATAGCACTTACTTTCCAACCAACTTAAGTAATTAAGTGAAAGATTTATATCATTTTATATATAGGTGTTGTGTCGTCCGAGGCTAAAGACAAACAAGGGTTAAGTTGCACAGCTATATCCAAATCACGAACTCAAGGTACAGTGGAGATTCTTTCTTTTGTTTTTTTTGTTTTTGTTTTTTAATTTAAATTTAAATTAAATAATTAAATGTTGCTTTCTGTAAAGCGTACTAGAACCAATTTTATGTTGTGTGTTATGCAGAATATCCAGAAGTATTTAACGGTAGCATAGCAACGTTAAAGTTGCATGAGATTAATGTGGAGGATGACATAGATGAGGAGCAAGATATTGGGGTGCTTTTAAGATTGTTTAAAATTTCTCTGTTTCTCTGTTTTGTGCCTTTCTTTAATTACCCTTTCTTTGTTTTGACTTGTCAAAAGAAGGTTTCGGTGACGAAGGAGATCAAGAAGCGAGTAGAAGCTATCAAGTCGATATTGGGTTCCATGGAAGATGGAGAGATAAGCATATCTGCTTATGACACAGCTTGGGTTGCTCTTGTAGAAGATGTTCATGGAAGTGGTGGCCCCCAATTTCCGTCGAGTCTAGAATGGATAGCAAAAGGTCAACTTCCTGATGGTTCATGGGGTGATAGTGAATTGTTTTCAGCCCATGACAGGATTATTAACACGTTGGCTTGTGTTATTGCACTAAGATCGTGGAACATGCACCCTGAAAAGTGTGATAAAGGTAATGTTTAATTATAACTATTAGCCTCATATATATAATTAGATTTTATTGTATTGATATGTCATAAATAATACATATATGTATCTAGGAATGGCATTTTTTAAAGAAAACCTTAGCAAGCTTCAGAATGAGAATGCGGAGCATATGCCAATTGGGTTTGAAGTTGCTTTCCCTTCACTTCTCGACATAGCTCGTGGTTTGAACATTGAAATACCAGATGATTCCCCTATCTTGAAGGATATATTTGCAAAGAGAGACGTAAAACTCACAAGGTAGGGATTCATTCGGTCACAACCTCAGTTGTAGTCATAATTATGCTTGCCAGAGGTTGTGCTGCACCCCATTGTCTATTTCATAATAGATTCAAAGCAACCTTATCTTACAAAATCTTTTTTTTTTTTTTCTTTCTTTCTGGGAAAGTACATATATATATACGAGTCACGCTTTTGTTTTTTACAATTTCTGCAAGTTCTAACGTGTGTGTCATTATTATGTTGTGTTCTATGTGGGCCTTGTTGTGGGGATAGAATACCAAGAGAGATGATGCATAAAGTGCCCACAACTCTGCTCCATAGCTTGGAAGGGATGTCAGGTCTAGATTGGAAAGAACTTCTAAAACTGCAGTCTCAAGATGGATCATTCTTGTTTTCACCATCCTCCACCGCCTTTGCGCTCATGCGGACTAAAGATGAAAATTGCCTCAAGTATTTGAATAATGCGGTTCACAAGTTCAATGGGGGAGGTAAAGTGCCATTTGCCCTTCCACACAACCGCAAGACTTGAGATTTTCTTTTTGTTTCCCCATTCAATCTTCATTCCCTCTTTTCTATATAATTGGGTTAATAACTTCTCCTTTAATTGTAGCAGTTTTTTTTTTTTCCTACCCTCACATCGAAAGCTGCGTTTTGTTTTGTTTTGTTTTTTTTTTTAAAAAAAACGGTAGGTCCCGTTTTGTATTCTCTCTGCAGGAAACAAAAAAACTTATCCTGAAAGAGGAGAAGTTATTAACCCATAATTTATATCATAACATATTTAGAATACCTTTATTAATATTTGTGTCTATATCAGTTCCAAATGTATATCCGGTGGATTTGTTCGAACATATTTGGGTGGTTGATCGGCTGGAACGCCTAGGAATATCGCGGTATTTTCAGCAAGAGATTAAGGACTGTACGAGTTATGTTCACAGGTAATTGAATAAGATTGAATGTATGTCGTATTACAAGAGATAAAATTATATTCTATATATATATAAAAGTATACGTGATTCATATTTTTTTTTCATTTCTTTTCAAATGACATCACATGGGTCCCATGCTATTTTATGTATGTAAGAAATACAATTTATCTTTTATAACATGAGAAATATTAATCCCATTGAATAATGAACCTCAAGTTAATATTTTATTAACATTTTTTAACAAATTAACCGAGTGAGAGACAGAGATATGGCATGCTAAGCAATTGTAATTTATTAAAATAAAATTTCAGATATTGGACTGAAAAGGGCATTTGTTGGGCAAGAAATTCAAGTGTTCAAGATTTAGATGACACAGCAATGGGTTTCAGATTATTAAGATTACACGGCCACCAAGTTTCAGCTGGTAAGTCTTTGATAACAATATATAACATCAAATCTATATACTAAAATGCAATATCTCATATAATAAACTGGTTTCCTATGGAAATGGTAATGAACTTTGATTTCATATATATTTGACAGATGTGTTTAAGCACTTTGAGAGAAAAGGTGAATTCTTCTGCTTTCCTGGACAGTCAACAGAAGCGGTGACTGGAATGTTTAATCTGTATCGGGCCACTCAAGTAGTGTTCCCAGGGGAGAAAATTCTTGAACGTGCCAAGCACTTTTCTTCCAAGTTTTTGAGAGAGAAGCGAGCAGCAAATGAGCTAATAGATAAATGGATAATAATGAAGAACTTGCCTGAAGAGGTAGGGGAATCGATACCATCAACTATGTTGGACCACTTGATCTATGGGGTGGCTTATGCATGTAGTTATTCGTACTAAGAAATAGTTTGTGTGTGTGTGTGTGTGTGTTTTGTGTAGGTGGCTTACGCATTGGATGTGCCATGGTATGCTAGCTTGCCTCGAGTGGAGACAAGATTCTACATTGATCAATATGGTGGTGAGAGTGACGTCTGGATAGGCAAAACTCTTTATAGGTACTTCGCACTTTCCACTTTCCACTTTGCTTCCCTGACAACACCCCCTTCTTACTTTTCATCTAAATTCTTGGTACACTGAACAACACCACTCTTTTTTACACAAAAAATTTGTGGAGCCGATGTAAGAAGAAAATAAAAAAAAGTATAGATCTTATATAGTTTTTTATGTGTGTATAAAAGATAAAATTAGTTTTCTCCATACATGGACTCGCATATTTTTTATATGTATTGAAGATATTTATTTCCTTCGACACGACAACGAGAAATATTAAATCCTACTTAAAATAAGATAAACTAAAATGAAATATGTTGAATGCTTTTATATTAGCATGATTAAAATAATAAATCAAGATGATACGATGGTGCAAATATATAATTTTCTTAAAAGCAGTTTACAACATCAACCTTCCAACTGACATGGCCAAAGGAAGATGTCAGATGTGATGAATAATTTTTTTTCATAAAGTATATGTTATGAATGACAATTGACAACTAAATTAGAAAAAAGGTTGATTTTTTATAAATCTCATTAAAAAGTTAAGAATAGTCATTATAGGTTTTATAAAAAGAAGTTTCATGTTAAAGAAGAATATTACATTGCTAGCAACATTTTATTAAAAAAATATCATGTAAAATAGTTTGTTATTTATCACTTGTCATTTTAAATTATAGAAGTGACGGTGGACACACCCAAATTATAATGTCTTTGGTTGCATCATCGCTTCCTATATATGTTGACAATTAGATATAACAATAAACTCAAATGCATTAAGGAATATACGTTTTTCGAGATTCCTTATGAATTCCGACTCACTTCTTAAAAAAAAGAAACTATCTAAAAAATCTAAATTAATAGAAAAAGATATTAATTTAAAAATTGGCGAGGCACAAGCTCATCTGACATTGTAATACAATTTTTACTTTTATAATTAACGAAAAGAATTAGAATGTTGGTTAGGTGAAATATATTAAAAATTTTAGAAACATGTCCCTTAATTGAATCAAAAGATTCATTAATGTGTTCAGCACTGTTAATATACTTTCTCGTGCCATTTTAATTTTTTTGGCCTGAATTGAGTTGCTCTTTTGTCACAGGATGCCCTATGTGAACAACAATAATTATCTCGAGCTTGCTAAATTAGATTACAACAATTGCCAAGCACTGCATCTAACAGAGTGGGGGAGAATTCAAAAGTAAGAGCAACTAAGAGCACTGCATTAATCTTTTTCCACAATGCAATTGTCCTAATACTCTTATTTTTACAATGACATTTATCAGGTGGTACTCAGAATCTAGATTGGGAGAGTTTGGATTGAGCAGAAAAACACTTCTATTGGCCTATTTTTTGGCAGCAGCCAGCATATTTGAGCCAGAAAGGTCACATGAGAGACTTGCATGGGCCAAAACCACAGCACTGCTTGAGACAATCACATCCTATGTTAGTGATTCAGAAATGAAGAAAGCTTTCGTTAAAAAATTCAGTGATTGCATCAACAAGCGAGACTACTCCATTGGCTGGTAAATTACCTCTTCCCATTTTCTATAAATATCGAAACATGCCAAATTATGTCTTAAACTTACATAGACTTGCTTTTTCTTTTTTCTTTTTGGCTATTTAATCATGGTTCTTGGCTTCTTGTTGGTGGTGTACACTTTAGACATGTATAAAACATATGACGTATCATTTTCAATGCCTATTGATATGTATATTTCAAGTGGGCAACCTTTAGCCAAAGTTTTGTCCGGTGTGACAAACACTTTCCTTTTTCTTTATGTTTCCCAATCATTTTGTAACAGGTACTGAAATGCCTAGTTTATAGTGGAGTTGCATTCTTGTTAACTATTATTCTGCAAAGAATTTAGTAGATCCATTAATTAAATCATCTGTTTTAGCTTAACGTTATGGAAATCGAATCTTGGTGGTGCGAGCACTAAGCACCCAATTCATATTTATTACTGTTTAATCAGCAAGGGGTGAAAAGAAAGTCAAATAATTCATAAACATGCAGATGTGCTTGTGTTTCTTGTATCTTTTTACTTTTTTTTTTTATCTTGTCTTTAGTTCTAGCTTGTTTCTGCCATTTCCCGCGAAAAGGTTCCCTAGCTGACTGCAGTTTTGAACTTTAGCTTAATGAGAAATTGAACACAATTTTGTATGTGTTTTGAGTGCAGGAGGTTGAACAGGAACCAAACAGGACATGGACTCGCTGAGACTTTGGTTGCAACCATAGATCAAATCTCGTGGGATGTACTTGTTTCTCATGGTCATGAAATTGGATATGATATGCATCACATTGTGAGCCTTCCATTACTCACTAGTATATAATTTTAGTATCAGACTTTCATGACAAATTTCCCTTTCGATATTAATATGAATTCAGATGATTTATTATTGGTACCTTATATTAGGTAAAACTTACGTATTGATAATTTTAGTATAATTTAACTTAAAAATAAATTTGACTTATTCATAACATTTGTTTTTTAATTGAGATAATCTCTTTAAACATGAAGTTGTTCATTTTTTACAAGTCTGTTTAAGTTCTTAACACTAGATAGTTAACTTGTACCAGAATTCTATACTAGCTCTGTCACCTTTTACATTTTTCATAAATATAATGATTTTGTAATTAATGGTCCCGCCAACTGAAAAGGAAATCAGGGCTTCAACTTCAAAACAGAAAATGGAGAATCAAACATAAGTGGTCCAATACAACCACCGAACCAAAGTAACTGTTCCAATGTCTTAGTTTTGATTTTTTTTTTTTTTTTTCCTTCCCGTTATTGTATTGTGATTGTAGTGGAAAAAGTGGCTTTCAAGTTGGCAAAGTGAAGCAGAAAAAGGTGAAGGACAAGCAGAGCTTTTGGTGCAGATAATAAACCTGAGTGCTGGGCATTGGATTTCGGAGGAGCAAATGTTCAATCCACAATACCAGAGTCTCCTTCAAGTCACTAACACAATCTGTCATAGACTTAGTTGCTATCAAAAGGACAAGGTCAGTGACAGCGCAACCATTATATCCTAGGATAAATACCTAGCTACTTTTCCTAATGTGGATCTTTTGGCTGCATGCTTTTAATGCCAACTCTATTTACCTTCCCCACTTTTCAAGGCTAGTGTTTCAAATTTTTGTAGGGTCTACAAAGCTAGATAGATATGCTCTTTGGATTATTAGTAAAGTGACATAGCCAAAAAATAAATAAAAAGAAGAAAGGGGTTCCAGCAATAGCCAATTGAGCACGATATTTAGTTTTCTCAAAATACTCATAAACTTGTCACTCATAAATGGTGAGGTGTTTAGCATTTAAGTACTGCATAATTGAAATTCCTAACTCAACATCATCCAACACATAAACTTTGTCATGTAGTATAGTGCTGCACTAAGCAGGAAGCACAATCTTTTAGTTTGGGAAACTCCATAATATCTCCTGCAGGAGAAATTCATGATTACATTTGTTTATATAAATTGTGTAAACTAAATTAATCATTAAATAGTTACATAAATTTGTGTATTACACAATTATTTTACATTTAAAATATGTATCATTTGCTTACTTGTGCAGAAAAGATTTATTCCTTTTATAGGATAAATTTTTGGTATATCTGTTGTACCTAAATTCGGTGCATCCTACCAATAAAAATATTACATGTCAGAGGAGAGAGAGAGAAAATTTGACAGAGGAGACAAAATTTTGGCTGAAATGTAATGTTTACATTAATGGGATGCATTAAATCTTTGGTGCAACAGTAACGCCAAAGATTTATTCTCCAAAAAAAAGTGATATTATTAATGTCTCAAGTCGTTAAAAGTTAAAACCAAAGCTAATATACATTTAAGCTTGCACTCTCATAAGCTTTTTTTTTTTTTTCTCCCACTTTCTTGGTAACATTTGCATTTTTCTGAATAACATTTATCAGGAACTAGAGAGCGGCAACTGTGGTACGCATGTAGACAGCAGCACCACCCCAGAAGTAGATTCAAAAATGCAAGAACTCGTACAATTGGTATTCCAAAAATCTCCAACTGGCATTGACATCAATATCAAGAATACTTTCCTCACAGTGGTGAAGAGTTTATACTATACAGCTTTCAGTGATTCAAGCACCATCAACTTCCATATTGCCAAAGTTCTCTTTGATAAAGTTGTTTGATCAAATTTAGTGTCTTCAATAGATACTAGATTTCACCATCACTGTGCATAATTACCCCCAATATAATATATTAAAGAAAAAGAAAGCCAAAAAATTCAGTAGTTGTTGTGAATTAATGTATATGTCCTTTTTCCAGTTTACAAAAATTAAATCTATAATAAATTTTGCCTCAATTTTACTTACCTTGCAGCTTGAATTCAGTATGAGTAAGAATTTGTACTTTGAGAAATAAAACCATATGGTCTCAGAATTATATGCTAAAGCATTAATTTAACTCAAAAACTTAAGGTATTAGATGAATGTTGCATTAATAATTTTATATTATATTTCTCTAACAACTAATATAATTTAATAACCAAGGTCTCCAATTTATAATAAAAAATTAATAGTTTTAGTAATATTATGTAATTTTTTGACAATATTAAACTCTGACGGTAAATTAAAATTAATTAATTAAAAACTTGAATGACAAATGCTCGAAGCAATACAGTTTAATTTACACAGTGATCCGGATAAAATATAGGCCCATTAGAGGCCCAATGACATACGAAGAGGCTCAAACCCATTAAGGATCCAGAGCAAGCGCGAAGGATAAACATCGCGCATAAGACGCGATGCTCTCATCGCACAGGACAGAACATGATGCCCATATCGCGGATAAAACCCCCTTAAGGAAGCTAACTTAAGGCCCAAAGCAATCCCACCGCGCCTTTATTCCAATAAACTAAAGACAGCTCCAGCTTGCCGCGACTCTATGACTGGACATTAGAGAAGATAAGGCTACTCAGGTTATAACACTGACCTGCAGTCCAAGCCTGGCCACTCAGAAGCCAAGCCGCCTTACTAAGGCGGCATCATAATCACTATATAAGCAAAGGGTACAACATCAAGGTATGATAATCCTTTAACAGATTTTCAAAGCTTCAAAATGGAGCACATCCCTAGAGAACAAAATTCGCAGGCCGATATTTTGTCCAAATTAGCCAGCACAAAGGGACCCGGAAATAATAGATCAGTTATCCAGCAAAGCGTCCCTAATCCCAGCATCATAATGGCTGTCACTAAACGAAAAGCTCATCCGTCCCAGAGTGCGCAATCCATGGTCGAGGATGATACCATGCCCTTGGACGATAAAGAAACTTGGATGACACCAATTTGGAACTACTTGTATAACATAGAGACACAACCAGAACCGCGCGCAGCAAAAAAGCTAGCGCGCCAGGCTTCATTCTAAACTATCATCAATGACCAGCTATACAAGAAAGGATTTTCTTCTCCAATGCTTAAATGCCTGGATCCCCAACAAGCTCAGTATGTAATCTTCGATGTTCACGAGGGGATTGGCGGACATCACATGGGAGGTAAATCCTTATCTAGAAAACTGCTTCGAGCGGGTTATTTCTGGCCCACTATGGAAGAAGATTCAAAAAAACACGTGCGGCATTGTGTCAAATGTCAAGAGCACGCAGACTTGCACCATGCTACCCCAGAGGAATTATCTTCAATATTATCCCCTTGGCCAGTCTACCAATGGGGCCTGGATATATTGGGACCATTCCCAATTGCTGTCGAAGGGGTAAAATGGTTACTAGTAGCAATCGACTACTTTTTCAAATGGATTGAAGCAGAGGCCTTAGCCACAATATCAGCCAGTAAGGTTCGCCGATTCTTCTATCGACAAATCATAAGTCGGTTTGGCGTTCCTCATACCATCATAACTGATAATGGTACGCAGTTCGTGGATAAAAAATTCAATCAAATACTTCAAGATTTGCATGTCAAACACAGATACACATCTGTAGAACATCCACAAACAAATGGATTGGCAGAAGCTGCAAATCGAGTCTTAAAACGAGGATTGGAAAGAAGATTAGAAGCAGCTAAAGGAGACTGGCCTGAATAATTAGACTTTGTGTTATGGGGCTACGGAACAACCACGCATTCAACTACAGGGGAAACCTCGTTCCGCATGGTTTATGGCAGTGAACCATGATTTCGGTTGAAATTGGAGAGCCTTCATGGAGAAGGATGTACACGAGTGAAGATAGCAATTCACAGGCATTACTCCCTAACTTGGATGCAATCAATGAAGTGCGCGAAATTGCTCATATCAAGGAGGTAGCATTAAAACAAAGAATTGCAGCGCGCTATAACTTAAAAGTTGTCCGACGCAGTTTTAACATAGGCGACTTAGTCCTACGAAGAGCAGACATTGGCAATAGGAATGCGCGACAAGGTAAACTAGCCGCGAATTGGGAAGGTCCATATCGCATCCGCAACAAAACTGATAAGGGTGCATATGTCATTGAGACGTTGTCTGACCTTACTATCCCACGTACATGGAACGCGGACAAGCTTAAAATATTTTATAGCCAAGTCTTTTCTTGTTCGTAGCATATTTATCTTTCCAACTTATCATTTAACGATTGCAAATTTCTCCATCATTGATACATATTGCATCGCGCATATAAATAAGTGAACAGGGTCACAACCTATCCCAATCATAAGGGAGCGATACTGCAAAGCGCGATGGCTTCCAACTTAACAGGATCCTTCACAAGGATCCTCCAATCTCAAGGATCCCTCATAAAGATCCTCCAACTTAACAGGATCCCTCGCAAGGATCCTCAAATCTCAAGAATCCCTCACAAGGATCCTCCAACTTAACAGGATCCCTCACAAGGATCCTCCAACTTAAAAGGATCATTCACAAGGATACTCCAATCTCAAGGATCCCTCATAAGGATCCTCTAATTTAATAGGATCCCTCATAAGGATCCTCCAATCTCAAGGATCCCTCATAAGGATCCTCCAACTTAAAGGATCCCTCACAAGAATCCTCCAATCTCAAGGATCCTCCAACTTAAAAGGATCCCTCACAAGGATCCTCCAATCTTAAGGATCCCTCATAAGGATCCTTCAACTTAATAGGATCCATCACAAGGATCCTCCAATCTCAAGGATCTCTCATAAGGATCCTCCAACTTAAAAGGATCCCTCGCAAGGATCCTCCAATCTCAAGGATCCCTCACAATGATCCTCCAACTTAACAGGATCCCTCGCAAGGATCCTCCAATCTCAAGGATCCCTCACAAAGATCCTCCAACTTAACAGGATCCCTCACAAGGATCCTCCAATCTCAAGGATCCCTCACAAAGATCCTCCAACTTAACAGGATCCCTCACAAGGATCCTCCAATCTCAAGGATCCATTACAAGGATCCTCCAACTTAACAGGATCCTTCACAAGGATCCTCTAAACAGATCCTCCATATTCACAGCGCGATCTTACAAGTTCTATCGCGATTCTCCAAGTTCTAGCGCGATACAAGGCAGGATGAACCTTACCTGGGTCAAACTTCTTCCTAAGCGCGATACGTCTGGCATACGTCATGTACAAACTACAATGACATTACATCTCGAACACATACCAACAACAACGATAAGCAAATTATATGCATTATGATTTGACAAATTATTGCAGATATTCGCCTGTGGCTCTCAAGTACCACACAAAGCACGAACTATAGCTCCAACTAAGGGAACTAACGCGCTGACCTGTTGCGCAAACAAGGAAGGAACACTATGCTTTCCAAACACACATCAACTCCCATGGCATTATCTCGGGAGACACTGTTGCGAAACCGGCAAGTATACCGTTCGTTTCAAGTAATAAAGTGATAAGTAGAGTATCGTTCCCACAATGATTAATGCACCAAGTACTAGTTTAACTATTCCCCTTAATTTGGAAAATAAAATTGGATTGAATTATGAAAGTAATAGATTTTGGAGTTTCAAAACAGAATTTAAAAAATAATTAAATTTAAAACAGAAAATTAATAACAATTAATTTCGAACGCATGCAAGAAAAGATCAAGAACACGAGAAAATATTGATGAAAAATTTATAAAAAGGATATAGTCAGGATGGACTTTACCTCTGATCCTCCCTTATATTCCTATATTATATTTTATAATTAATTAATTCGTTTGTTCAGACAATTCATTATTTCCCTATAAAATAGTTGAACACTAATGTCTTAGTGATTTCAACCCTTTAACCCAATCAGAATCTCAATGTCTTAGTAATCCCTCTTGAATTAAGCATTAAGCAAATGAATTATGAGTCTGCAATTTATGCAAGCCTATGTCTAGATCATACACAAATTGTTATTCTACCCTTGTCCAGATTAAAACCCCAATATGTCTATTGTGAATTCTAACCCTCAAAGCCCTATAATTTAGAGTGGCCAATTCTAAATAGGATATGGAAAAATTAACACAGGTAGAATAAAACAAACAAACTAACTAATTAACTTATAAAATATCAATACAAAAAATATAAAAGATTCACATCGGGTCCGTGATCCCAACTACAAAAAGAAACTAGCCAGACATAGCTGGCTTAAACAAATTAAAATAATAAAAAGAATTCATAAAAGCAATAAAGAAAAAGAAGAAGAAGATGAAGGATCAATGATCTCCGGTCTTCAACTTCGGTGGAATCTTGATTTCCAGCGTGAGCCTCCAAAGATTCTTTCCAGCCAAAGATACCTTGTTTCTGAGGTCTGAGTCTCTGTTTATAGAATTTGTGCCCTTGCTTAGAAATCTTGATCAAATCTTCATCGTATATCTTGGTCCAATCTCCTTTGATACAGTCTGAAATATGGATAAAAACTATCTTGCACCTCCCGCGCTACTAGCGCCAGTGCCGCGCTAATAGCGTGGGAGTATTGTTCTTGAATCAGTAGCTTGGCGCTACTAGTGTGAATCCTGCGCTACTAGCGTAGGTGGCAAGATTGCTGGCGGCCTGGCGCTACTAGCGCCAGTGCCACGCTAGTAGCGTGGGAGTCTCTGGATGAAAAAGTTCCTCTGGCGCTACTAGCGCCACACCCGCGCTAATAGCGCGGGGCTTCAGACTTGTGCTTCCAATTTGGGCTTCTTTCTGGTCTGTTTTCCTACAAAATTAGTAGAAAATCAATGACAAGATATTTGATTAAGATTTATCAATTAAATAACAATTCTAGA